TATTTAGGAGCAGTAACATTATTAAAGGAGATACTGTTTATATACCATGTTAAATAGTCAACACAATCTGGTTCATACATTTATTCTATTTACACTAAGACATTTACATACAGTAAGGGTCCATAAATAATGTGATTGGCCTGCATGACTCATATATATTTTGAAAGGCACTTAAATTAGCTGCCAAAATTTATATCAGATATTTTCCTGAAAAACTTTGGTATTTTGTCTAAAAAAGGCATATTTTATGCAGGAAATGGCTGATTTTGCCTGAAAAAAAATGTATATGTACACATATGGTTTACTTATGATAGTGTGTGACATGAAGTAGAGTAGTTAAAACTCTCAAGTGAGGTTATATGTACCTTCTCCTAGCTTTGATTTCAGAAATTGTGGTGTACAAATATTCCTCCATTAACCCTTTAATGCCAGGGCTTGTATTAAGTACTCATGTTTTCTTGTCTTCCTGGGAGAATGAGGAAAGTGGCTGGAAACTTTTTTTTTTGGACTGACTTGGAAATATTAATTTGAAGAATTGTGATATATATTGGTTGAATTTAAAACAAAAACTTCAAGTTATCTGTAGTAGCCCAAATGAAATATATTGTAGAAAGTAATATAAAAAGAGATCCCATAGTTCTGAGACATCCAAGAGATTTTAAGGAATTTCTCTTCTCTCTGTTTGTTTTATATATTTTGTTTATTTTTTCATCATTTTTAACATAATTCCAATCATTTGTACATAAGTTTTTGTTAAAAATCTTTATAATTACTCACTGTAATGTATTCAATTTTCCATTATTTGTTTATAAAAGAAATAAAAACCATAATTGAAAGAAATTTTATCACAAATTGTAAGAGTTGTATTTCCCCATGGGCAATATAGGAAACGGGTGATTTTTGTGCTGTGTACCCTATGACAAACTATTACACCATTGTATAAGATGACATGACCTTTAAGGTCACGGCTAGTGGTGTCTAGTCGTTCGAGGTTCATCTACCTAGTGCATATCTCGCGGCAATTAGCATTAGAAGAGTAGCCGAGGTGTCACTGGGTTTGGAGGAGAAAATGGGATCCAATGTACAAATTTGTAGTGGAATTAAAATCCCTTGTTGGTTCGTCTTCTCTTGATGAAGAGGAAGAGTGTATCATCTCCATGCATTATACGGCCCGGGGGTTGTGTGTGTTCGATGGGAACTCTCCAACCACGTGGGTTTTCTCGGGGTCCTCCGGTTTCCTCCCACTGCTAAAGACCCCTACGCGCAAGCGAATAATTGAAATAAAATTGAACCATATGATAGTCCCAAAATGACCTAGTTTGTGTCGAGTGGACGTTAAACCCATCTCTCTCTCTCTCTCTCTCTCTCTCGATGGGAACTTTCCCAACAACCAAGCTCTTCGCCACACAGATCCCCACTTCTTCCCGACTCCGACAAGAAAATCCGATCGCCTACCAAATCATCACCAGCTACAACCAACTGATCTCCACTGCACCTTCACCAAACGCCACCACATTACCAACCTTCAAGGGCAAAATAGAACTGAAAGGTAACGACGCAATCCACTGGAGGCCAGAGAGATCATCAACTGCTGGATGAGGAATTTAAACTAGGATTAGGGAAAAGGAATGAGAAGCCGTCTTTAGGACAGACAGTTGTCAATTTGAGCGACAGACTTCTCAACCCCCTAGAAATGAACATTCTTGATAAAGGCCTTAAATTCATCCCAACCCCCACAATAACATCCATAGACCCCATCACCCAGGCAACCGATCGCTTCCAAAGAACACTTTCGTTGACTTATTTTTTTAGGAACAAACCCGGCAGAGGTAAAAAATTATTCACAGCAAAATCCACATGGAAACCACCTAAAAAGTCATTATCACCAGCCATCCTAAAAACTTTCGACGAAATGAATATAGAAATATCATCCATTCAACCACAATCACAAAAACCAAATCTCAACCGAGCAACTAAAACGGCATTAAACACCCTTAAAAAAGACAAAAACATAATAATTAAGAAAAGCGACAAAGGCTCGTGTTGTGTCATAATGAATCGCGCAGACTATATCTCAGAGGCAGAAAAACATTTAAGTAATCCTATACATTATACTAAATTAGACCAACCCATCTTTAAGGACACCGCAACTTTAATAAACAACATCTTATATGAATTGCAGGATAAGGAATACATAACAGCAAAACAATATGATTATCTATCTGCTAAATCTGACTACCGACAAAGACATCTCTATACACTACCAAAAATACATAAAAATCCAGAAACAGAATGGTTTATACCTAATAAAATACCCAAGGGACGCCCAATAATATCAGACTGTGGCAGCGAATCATACAACGTATCACAATATATAGACCATTTCTTATTACCCCTAGCATGCCAACACCCATCCTACCTTAAAGACACTAACGATTTCATTCAGAAAATCAAACAGTTAAGAGTCCCCGAACACACCATTTTAATATCCATCGACGTACAAAGCATGTACACGAACATTGATAATAACACAGGTATTGAAGCAGTTAGGAAAGCATTTCTTAGGAACCCGCAAGCATCCAGGCCGGACGAAGAAATCCTCAAACTACTCGACATTTGTCTGAGGAGGAATGACTTCGCTTTTAACGACCAAGTATACCTTCAGTCTTCCGGAACTGCGATGGGAAAACGATTTGCCCCGAGTTATGCAAATCTCTTCATGGCGGAGTGGGAAAGGGAAGTTCTGCCACTCTGTCCATTAAAACCAGATTTCTATGGGCGGTTTTTAGATGACGTTTTCATAGTCTGGACATACACACTAGACGAATTTTGGACGTTTTTCAACATTCTGAACAATCATCATCCATCTGTCAAATTAACCGCAAATGTAAGCCATAACAGCATAGATTTCCTTGATACTATCGTGTTTAAAAGTAGCAACACCAAAATCACAGACCAATTGGAAACTAAAGTATTTTTCAAAGAAACCGGCACACATCAATTATTGTTCAAAAGCTCCTTTCACCCAAAACATACATTCTCTGGCATCATAAAATCTCAGATTCTCCGTTTTCATAGGATATGTACTCAGAAGACCGACTTTGAGTCAGCATGTACATTGGTATTTAGCAAACTAAGGGAAAGGGGATACTCCAAACGCTATCTACGACGTATAAAAAACAACACTCTCGCTGAGCTTGCCGCCAAAGAAACAAATAATATACAATCAGCAGTTAAAACCAAAATTTGTGGCCATCCAAGATGTCAAACATGCAAAATCTTAAACATATCCGACCATTTCCATAACAAAACATCTGGCACAAAATTCCCAATATTAGACCAACTTTCATGTAGTAGTTCAAACATAATTTATCTAATTTCATGCAGAAAATGTGACAAGCAATACGTAGGGGAGACTCAAAATGCACTTAGGGAAAGAATTAACGGTCACCGGTCAGACATAGTCACCAAAAAAGACAAACCTGTCTCAATTCATTTCAACCAACCGAATCATGACATTTCTGATCTCATTGTCACGCCAATAGAAAAGACCAAGAGCGACTTTGAAACTTCAGAAGAAATTAAAACGTTTAGGGTAACTAGAGAAAAATTCTGGATTGACAAATTGAAAACAACAGCCCCTCTAGGTTTGAATATTCATACGGCTAGCGCAATAGCTCCTTTTGTAGTTCATTTAGCGCAACAGCAGCAAGTGCATCCAAAATCTTCAGAAAACACAATACTGATCTCCAAGAAAATCACCCGAAAATATTCACACAGAAACTTATAATTGCATATTCTAAAAATAAAAATCTGAACGACATCCTAGTGCACAGTAAATTAGATTAAATAAGACCAGTCTCCACCCTGACCCAAAACAAACCATATATCAAATCCTATCCCTAACCGTTAGTAAATAAAATCAATTAGATATAAGAATCCCTAGCCCTAACCCGGTGATGTGGAACAAACACGATTTTTTAGAAAATCCAATCCGTAGTAAGAAACACAACTAATGTGGCTCTCTCCCGAGAGCCTCAAATTTATTTTCTTTTTTCTTCAGAAACAATAATACCAGAATACCAGAAGCACCACCCAAGGAAGACCATCAGCGCAACCAACACCAATAAACAGTGAAATCGCCTTTGTATATAAATCTAATGTATTGTATGTATTTTTAATAAAACTAGGAAATATCACGAACTAATTTTTCATCATCCTAGGTCAGTGCTTATGTGGAGACTTAACCTCTCCCCCAAATTCTTAAACCTAACCTACAATCTCGCCAGCAATCACATCTCGCCAGCCCTAACCTTATTTACACCTCAGCGACCTTGATAAAAATGGAGCTAGCCATAACAAATAGATTTAACCATTTTTTAAATTTTCATTATAATATTAAGTGCCTTTAATTTTGCGGTTAAAGGGACAACAACACTCTTGCTGGCTTGACAGCTCTAGAAAATAAAAAATAGCCTTATTCTAAGTTCTAGATGTGTTAGTGTCCTACCTGTTGTGTAAATTATCCATTAAATTCTATTTTACTTGTCCAAAGGGTTCAAAAATATTTTTAAATCCAAGTCACATTTGAAAAGCTTTACGTCAGGCTTTTCAAATCATTTAGTTGAATTTTTCCAATTTTTTAAATTAGGTGTGTTAAGATGAAATTTGTATCATCAATTAATTGGAATATTGTAAAATAGTACAATTTATTGACCAGAATAAAGATTGGGACATATTATTCAGTTACAACAAGAGTGGTATTGAGCCTTTAATATAATAATGCTTTTTCAAGACATATCTAATAACCGTAAAATGTTTAGAATCGATTTTGTATTGTGGTGCAACCGAAAGCTGGATAGTTTTAGTTTTATGAATAGACGTCACGTTTCTATTGAAATATACGTCATATTATACAATGAAAGGTTTATTTATAGTAGCCTATACACTATAATACGCCGTGGTATCAAATAAACTTTATTTTACACGATTATCGTGCCACTATCAGCCACCATAGAAGAAGACAGGTAAGAATTTGTGACATTCTTTAAAGAAATATATAATTTATGATTTTATTTTCTATTTTGAAATAAATTGTAATTTTATAACTTTTGGAAGATATTTTTTGAGATATAATTTATGATTTTAGTTTTAATTTTTGATATATAATTTGTATTTTAGTTTAAATTTTTGGAATATAATTTGGATTTTCTTTAATTTCTGGAATGTGATTTGGTATTTTATTTTTAATTTCTGGAATATAACTTAGATTTTATTTAATTTCTGGAATATAATTTGAAATTTTGTTTTCAACTTTTGAAATATAATTCATTGAATTGTCTAGTCCGCGGATTTCTCATCGGTACATATTTTATTCTAGCTTCAAGAGAGATCTTCAAATAAAGTTTTGGAAATCGCAGAAACAGGCCAAAATAAGGTAACGTGTCGTTTTCATTTTTTAATATCGTATACTTTAAATGCTCTGAATGGAATAATGTACCGTAGGTGGATCCTTTCCATTATATCTCATAATGTCAAAATTATGAAGATTTATGAAAACAATATATCATTGTTATTATTAAAGCATAAAAAGTGAATAATATACATAACTGTTGAGTAAAAGCAAGTAATGTATAAAATTATAGATATAATTATCCAATCCTAAAAAATACTGATCCAACGTTTTCTTTTAATAATCTGTAAATCCACCAAGCAGCACCGATTGTTGCAGAATTTTATCACGTTTCTATTTTATGTGCGCTAATTTTTTTTTGTACATATTGTATACTGCTTCGCCGCAATAAAATTATATTCTATGCTATTCATGGCAATATATTCTATGCTATTCATGGCAATACAGTCTATTTTAGGAATAGGATGGTCACCCCATATTTCTATATAAGGGGTTTTGATTGGTTGGTTGTATTTCTTGTGTTTGTTGCAGATGATGTCGGTTACTTTGAACTGTATGAAAAGTTTCATGGTTCTTGCTGTATTGTTCGAACCAGGTATATAAAGTGACATTAAAAGGACAAGTGTCATGTGAACTTGTTTTAACGATAATAGATATACTACTATTTTTTAAATAAAGAAATAATATGATAATAGAGAAATACTAATACTTATTTATAGAATTCTATGTAATACCAATATATAGAAAAATACTAATACTTAGCCATAGAGATTTAACATGGAATACCAGGGCCGGCGGAAGCAATTCTTGATTGTGTGTGTGTGTGTGGGGGGGGGGGGGGGCTACCATCCTGGGACTTTATAGTTACTTTCGTACAATAACGTTCATAAAAGAGTACTTGCTAGCTAACAAATTATTCCCACCCCACCCCACCCCCACCGGGCCTGAATACTTATATAAAGGATAGAGATATAATACTTACAAATGTAGAAATATCAATACTTATCCATAGAGATATAATACATAAAAAGTACAGAGAAATACTAATACTTATCCATAGAGATGTAATATAATAATACTTACGAATAGAGAAATACTAATATTTACAAATAGAGATATAATAATACTTACAAATAGAGATATACCAATACTTCTCCATAGAGAAATAATAATATAATACTTACAAATAGAGAATTGTTAATACCTTTCTATAGAGATATAATAGAGAATTAATAAAATGGACGATTACTAATACTTACAAATAGACAATTCCTATAATAAGATTTATTTATAGTACAGTACAGAACAATAAAATATAATTCTTATTAAACACAGAAGTAATAATATTCGTTTTGTATGCATCAAACCCAACCTGTTTCACAGGGTAATGGAATAAATTCAGCTTTATGACTCCGCATTTCCAATTATCATTTTGTACTTTCTAGTAATTGGTCCTTGGACAGAATATGGATGTTATGATCCGGCTGGTTTAGTATGTTCTAAACATTCTTTTGGCCAGAAAACCCTTTGTAGTGGGGCATATCCTATCACAGTCACCAATGTATTTTATGGTAAACAATCAACAAATGTAACGTGTCCGGCAATAGCAGCAGCTAACTGTGACAGTAATCCATGCTGTAAAAAGGGTAGTGATGATACGCGTGTACCCGTCAGTAAAGAAGACAGTTTATCAATTTATACTAACTGTACCTATGAGAAATCATGTAGTGTCATCTCACCTCACACCCCAAATGTTGATTACCATTACGTAGAGTATGAATATGAATGTAGCGTGCGTGAGTATATTTCATTCATATTAAAGTTTATTTAAACATACATTATGCAAGAGCTAAATCTGTCTATTTCAGGTCTTTAGTGGATTATGAGTCGATTTACTGCATAACTTTCCTTCGCGATTTAATGATTAAATGGATAATCGAGACTATGCTGTTTATCGTACTGACTTTCGTAATGATGATCGAGGCGAGGCGGAAATTTCAACCGCTTAGTTCTCGGTTCATAGTGGATCAATTTGAATGAAATTTTCAGCAAATTGTCTTTACATTATCTAGTTTTTATACGCCCACATTTTCATGTGGACGTATTATGCCGTCGCCCCTGTCCGTCCGTCCACAATTTGTTTGTGGACACTCTACAGGTCACAATTCTTATCCGATTTTAACGAAACTTGAAATATAGGTGTATTGGCATGTAACGGATCGAAACTTCATGGATTATGGCCCCTGTTTGTACGAAAAATCACGTTTTTGGCTTGTGGACCCTATAGAGGTCACAATTTTTATCCGATTTTATTGAAACTTGAAATGTAATTTTATAACCCAAAGATCTCGATTCTTTTCGATATTCGCGCATATCGGACCGTAACTTCCTGAATTATGGCCCCTGATTGTACGAAAAATCACGTTTTTAGCTTGTGGACCCTATAGAGGTCATAATTTTTATCCGATTTAAAAAAAGTATTATTATATCACCGTTACACCATAAGGACGACTGAGTTTGAATTTCATGAAAATCGGCCCAAAATTGACAGACAAAATGGCCGCCGTTCATTCTCAAATAGCGTAAAAATATGGTATATCAAGGTTGTGGACCCTATAGAGGTTATAATTTTTATCCGATTTAAAAAACCGTTCAATTATATCACCGTTACACCCAAAGGTTGGCTGAGTTCGAATTTCGTGAAAATCGGCCCGAAATTGACAGACAAAATGGCCGCCGTTCGTTCTCACATAGCGTAAAAATATGGTATATCAATGTTGTGGACACTATAGAGGTCACAATTTTTATCCGATTTTGTTGAAACTTGAAATCTAAGTTGATAATCCAAAGATCTCGGTTCCTTTCGATATTCGCGCATATCGGACCGTAACTTCCTGAATTATGGCCCCTGGTTGTACCAAAAATCGCGTTTTTAGCTTGTGGACCCTATAAAGGTCATAATTTTTATCCGATTTAAAAAAACATATTATTATATCACCGTTACACCCTAAGGTTGGCTGAGTTCGAATTTTGTGAAAATCGGCCCAAAATTGACAGACAAAATGGCCGCCGTTCGTTCTCAAATAACATAAAAGTATGGTATATCAAGGTTGTGGACACTATAGAGGTCACAATTTTTATCCGATTTTGTTGAAACTTGAAATGTAAGTTTATAACCCAAAGATCTTGGTTCCTTTCGATATTCGCGCATATCGGACCGTAACTTCCTGAATTATGGCCCCTGATTGTACGAAAAATCGCGTTTTTAGCTTGTGGACCCTATAGAGGTCATAATGTTTGTCCGATTTAAAAAAACGTATTATTATATCACCGTTACACCCTAAGGGTGGCTGAGTTCGAATTTCGTGAAAATCGGCCCAAAATTGACAGACAAAATGGCCGCCGTTCGTTCTCAAATAGCGTAAAAGTATGGTATATCAAGGTTGTGGACCCTATAGAGGTCACAATTTTTATCCGATTTTGTTGAAACTTGAAATGTAAGTTTATAACCCAAAGATCTTGGTTCCTTTCGATATTTGCGCATATCGGACCGTAACTTCCTGAATTATGGCCCCTGATTGTACCAAAAATCGCGTTTTTAGCTTGTGGACCCTATAGAGGTCATAATGTTTGTCCGATTTAAAAAAACGTATTATTATATCACCGTTACACCCTAAGGATGGCTGAGTTCGAATTTCGTGAAAATCGGCCCAAAATTGACAGACAAAATGGCCGCCGTTCGTTCTCAAATAGCATAAAAGTATGGTATATCAAGGTTGTGGACCCTATAGAGGTCACAATTTTTATCCGATTTTGTTGAAACTTGAAATGTAAGTTTATAACCCAAAGATCTTGGTTCCTTTCGATATTCGCGCATATCGGACCGTAACTTCCTGATTTATGGCCCCTGATTGTACAAAAAATCGCGTTTTTAGCTTGTGGACCCTATAGAGGTCAAAATTTTTATCCGATATAAAAAAACGTATTATTATATCACCGTTATACCATAAGGACGAGTGAGTTCGAATTTCGTGAAAATCGGCCCAAAATTGACAGACAAAATGGCCACCGTTCGTTCTCAAATAGCATAAAAATACGGTATATCAAGGTTGTGGACCCTATAGAGGTCACAATTTTTATCCGATTTCGTTGAAACTTGAAATGTAAGTTTATAACCCAAAGATCTCGGTTCCTTTCGATATTCGCGCATATCGGACCGTAACTTCCTGAATTATGGCCCCTAATTGTACCAAAAATCGTGTTTTTAGCTTGTGGACCCTTTAGAGGTCATAATGTTTGTCCGATTTAAAAAAAACGTATTATTATATCACCGTTACACCCTAAGGATGGCTGAGTTCGAATTTCGTGAAAATCGGCCCAAAATTGACAGACAAAATGGCCGCCGTTCGTTCTCAAATAGCGTAAAAGTATGGTATATCAAGGTTGTGGACACTATAGAGGTCACAATTTTTATCCGATTTTGTTGAAACTTGAAATGTAAGTTTATAACCCAAAGATCTTGGTTCCTTTCGATATTCGCGCATATCGGACCGTAACTTCCTGAATTATGGCCCCTGATTGTACGAAAAATCGTGTTTTTAGCTTGTGGACCCTATAGAGGTCATAATTTTTATCCGATTTAAAAAAAACGTATTATTATATCACCGTTACACCCTAAGGACGGCTGAGTTCGAATTTCGTGAAAATCGACCCAAAATTGACAGACAAAATGGCCGCCGTTCGTTCTCAAATAGCGTAAAAATATGGTATATCAAGGCTGTGGACACTATAGAGGTCACAATTTTTATCCGATTTTGTTGAAACTTGAAATGTAAGTTTATAACCCAAAGATTTCGGTTCCTTTCGATATTTGCGCATACCGGACCTTAACTTCCTGAATTATGGCCCCTGATTGTACGAAAAATCGTGTTTTTAGCTTGTGGACCCTATAGAGGTTATAATTTTTATCAGATTTAAAAAAAACGTTTTATTATATCACCGTTACACCCTAAGGACGACTGAGTTCGAATTTCGTGAAAATCGGCCCAAAAATGACAGACAAAATGGCTGCCGTTTTTTCTCAAATAGCGTAAAAATATGGTATATCAAGGTTGTGGACCCTATAGAGGTCACAATTTTTATCCGATTTTGTTGAAACTTGAAATGTAAGTTTATAACCCAAAGATCTCGGTTCCTTTCGATATTCACGCATATCAAATTGTAATTTCCTGAATTATGGCCCTTAATTGTAGGAAAAATCACTTTCTTGTTAGCTTGTTCTCTATCCATCTCTCGAAAATGTGGGCGTATCCTGCCTGGCAGCCGCTGGTTAACTATTATAGCGAGAACTGCCAACTCGTCATCGAATCTCCCATAATGTATCTTTAACTTTTGGAATTACACAAACAGGAGGATTACACATAAAGAAGAATAAGTTACACAGGCAGAATAACTAACACAGAAATACAAATAAGTTACCCTTTGTTTCTATAATTAAAGACACTATGGAGAAGATCAAAACCTGAGATTTATTGCTCGGAAGCTTCGGGGAATATGAATTAATGTAATAATTAATTATTACAAAAGACCATTACGGTCAATCAAACGAAAAAAATAATCGGATTATCTCGTATTTACGTGCACGATAACTATCTTGTAATTACAAGACAGCCATCTCGTAATTATAAGACGACCATCTCGTAATTACAAGATAACTATCTCGTAATTACAAGAAACTTACAGGTATCTTGTAATTACAAGATACCTGTCTTGTAATTTACAAGATACAGAGAAGCCCACTAGGGTCAATCAACTGAAAAAAAAGTGTTCTGGGTAATTTATTTCAAGGTCGCCATACGTACACTGATAAATTCTTAACTTAGTCTGAGAATGCTTTGTGAACTTGGGGTCTGGTCTTTAATATTTTACAGCTTATCACAGCGAAGAGCTGCTGGAGATTACAAATACCACTACGGGACTGGAGAGTAGTTCAAGGGGTAAATTTCTTACCCTACACTGGGCCGGTAAAACATCACCAACAAATGGTTTAACTTGTGCATGTAACGCAAATGGTGAAAATATGAGATTTATAGCCAAATACATTAACTTGGGTGCCGAATCTTGCCCTCACGTTACCATAGTGAATGGAGATGGTGTACCGTTTTTCAACTGTACAGAGGATGGTGTTCACCTCAGATATCATGATCTTGCCATGGGCATGGTACGTGGTTTTAGGTTTAGCGACAAAGTGAAGATAGAATTTACAGATTTTACTTCTAAACATGATGACATTATTTATGTGGAATTTTATAGAGGTAAGTACACATTCGTAAACAACCTTGGCCCTGTTTCTCGAAATCTTAACTAAAGATAAAATCCTATTTTAGTAGATACTTCAATTTTGATTGGCTAAGCACTAAAATCAATCTAATATTATCCAATCAAATTACTAAAATTTGGAATTTATCTTAGTTAAAATTTCGTGAAACAGACCCCTGGCATCTAGGAATCAGACAGCCCAAACTTTCTGGTTTCGTAGACTGGCTCCCACAAACTGATCAGCAATGAATATTTGCTAGGCCGCTACAACCACTGATAGGGATGACATCTGTGACAGTTAATTAGCTTACAATACTAACTTTTTTCCTTCTGCAAATTAGATTCTAAAACATTTTTTTTAAAAATAAATAAAGATGTTTTAAATATATCTGGATAAAAAAAATAGTTCCTGTTTAGTGTAATTGGGTACATAAAATAGTACGCGAAGGCGTAAAATGAGTAAAAGGCACGGTTCTTCCCGGACCAGTTTACGTTACAGCTGTGACATTACTACGTCTTTGTAAACAATGATCGATCGTGTGATGTGACGTCACACGTAGAATGGATGTGAACTTTATAAAGGTCAATCATCTTACACAGAGTTAGAAGAAGGTTTTCGTATTACTCCTGTGAAACAGATTGTGGCTACCAGTGGTTGATGATAATATTTTTCTCACGAGAAGGGTGCTACACAATCGGATATATCTTTACATTGGTTTTATCTACAGACGTAATATATTTGAACGAAGACGGATAATCATGCCACAGAACAATAATAATCAAATCTAGCGAAATTGACTGACAATTTTATTCTTGAGTCAATCAGGTGAACTTAGAAAAACAGGGTGATACGGGAAGGCTCACTTGGCGGTGAAGTAGATATACTGAAATACAATGAAGGTTTAAATGTTCACTTTTGTTATATCAAGATGGATTACTGATTAAAGTCAATGTAATCATTGTTTCAGGTAACAGTAACATATCAATAGACATAGAGTGTGATTGTAGTAATCCAGGTGAGTTTGTTATTTCGTGGAGAAAGAGAAGGGGGGATTTTTATTTCAATAATCTCCGGGGGTCTTCAGCAGTGGTAACAGACCGAAAAAACCCCAGAAAACCAACGAGGTTAGGTATTCAACTCTCACATAGTTGGTCTCCATATACAGTGGCCTAATTGTTATATTTTTTTTCTAGAGAGAGAGAGAAATGGGGTTTATTGTCTACTGGACACAAACTATATCATTTCGGAACTAACATAATTATGGTTCAACTTTATTTCAATAAGTCGCCTTCGGGGTCTTTAGCAGTGGGATAAAACCGGGAATACATACATTAATTATCATATTTTGTGTTAACAGAGCGAGTTAATGGTGGTTGGAGTGAATGGTCTAACCATAGTGTTTGTTACGTGACATGTGGAACTGGATATACAACAATAACTAGAGAATGCAACAACCCTACACCAACTAATGGTGGCGCCCCCTGTGTTGGCCCTTCTTCTGAAAATATCGCTTGCAAATTACAAGGTTAGTTTTTATTAATTGTCTATACTTTCATTTTCTTTTATATATCGGGCCCGTAGCTAGCTCAAAATTGTTGGGTGGTGGGGGATGGGGAGGCTTTTAGGGGCGCCGATAATAATTTATAAGAAAAACGAAAAGTTCGGAATCGGGTTAGAGTGCGACTTGTTTGAATTTTGAAGATTATCACGCCGTTTTGGGCGCCTAATTCATTCGTGGGTGCCTAACCAATCTCGACATTATGGGTGCCCCGCCAATTATATTATGGGCGCCCATGATCTCGTCGTGGGCGACCTACCAAACTCGGCATAATGGATGCCCGTCCGTATGAGGCACCCCACAAATCATGCCGTTTTGGGCGCCCCATTGATCAAGTCGTGGGCGCCCAACCAATCTTACTCGGCATTATACATTATGTGCGGACCGACAACCATATAGTCATTATAAGGTGCACCACCAAGCATGTCATTATGGGCGGCGCCCCTCCGGGATAAGGCACCCCACGGATCAAGCCGTTTTGGGCGCCCCATCAATCAAGTTATGTCAATCCTGTGAGTCATTATGGGGAGCCTCACCATTTGGGGAGCGCATCATATATAACGATATGATTGGCGAGACGCCCATAAAACCAAGTGACATTGGTTGGGCGCCCTGCCAATCTCGTCGTGGGAGCCCAACCAATGTCACCCGGCTTTATGTGGCACCCAATCGTCCATACTGATATGGGAACGTTGGTCGTTGGCTTCGTATTGGGTCCTATATTAAGGGCGCCTTTGGCGCCCATTGGAGGAGCCGAGTTTTCCCCCCAATGGACCTTAGAATCTGTTGACCACACTCATTAACCATAAGGTAGGAGTTTGTGTAACTTTAATACGAGGACAGATTCTGAAACGCTCCAAGACTTGTCTCAAAATTTGCACACACTCCTCTTTACATTGTCAGATATTACGGTATATTTCAATCACGTCAAATTGAAAATAATTATTTTATATACCAACGAATGTGTCCGTTTTGCATTCATACCCTTTCTGTTATTTGTTTTTTACAGTAAATTCGGGAAATATAAATCTGATTGGTTTACCATGGGTTTTACTCATTGTTTGTATGCTGGGGTCAACTTATAAACATCTATAGCAGTAAGTGATCATGTTTAAAGCAGCCAAACCTCTGATTTAGGATAAAATTTAGAATGCGTTGAAATTTTTAGCAAATTGCCTTTACATTATCAAGTTTTTAACTATTATAGTGTGAACTGCCAGTCCCTTATCTAATCTCCTATAATGTCCCTTTAATAGGGAAGTTATTTACACGTTATTTATAACGACCTTGGGATATGAACATTGGTTCCCCTTTATTACGTTGTTTAAATGGATTCTGTTTTCTCTTAAAGATACAGGTGTATGTTTAAATGTTTGTGTAAAGACGTATACTAATACCGACATACTACTAGAAGATATCGCCACACACTGGTGCTGAACCAGGAATAAATTTAACAGACACTGTTCATGTGCTTATTTATTAACTAGGATCTAGATCTTTATCAATGTATTTAATTAAATTAATCCAGTATGGTACAACATTATATTTTTATTGTATTTCTCCGCATTGCATAGGTCATCATCATCAACTAGAATAAAGCGTAAATACATCTATTTAATTTAATCATTATTTACTATAATACATGTATATGTATACATACTTAATTTACTTTAATCATCATCTACTAGAATATAGCGTCAATGTTTATCTATTTAATTCATTTTAATCATTATCTATATATGGTGTAAATCTTCATCTATTTAATTTGCTTTAATTATTAACTATTAGAATAAAGCTAAATGTCCATCTATTTAATTTACTTTAATCTTTACCTGTTAGAACATAGGATAAATGTTCATCTGTTAGATTTACTTTAATCATTATCTATTATTAAATGTTCATTTTTTTAATTTACTTTTATCATTTTCTATTACAATATAACGTAAATGAACATCCTTTTAATTTAATCGTTATCAGATTAGAATAAAGTGTAAACGTCCATCTATTTAAGTTAATCATTATTTACTAGAATATTGTGTAAATGTCCATCTATTTAATATATTTTGATCATTATTTACTAGAATATAGCAAAAAAAATGTCCATCTATTTAATTTACATTAATAATTATCTATTAGAATAAAACGTAAAGGTCCTTCTATTTAATTTACCTTAATCATTATCTATAATACTATAGAACATAGCGTAAGTTACATTTGTTTTACCTCCCACCCAGGGGCGGATTGGGCCATCGGGCGAAAGCCCGAAGGGCCGGTTGGAAATGAAAAAAATTTTTTTTGCCCAATTCGTCTAAAAAAACCCTTTTCTGCTGAACATTATATGGGGGGGGGGGGGGTATTGGACCGGTCATGGAGTGATGATGATCATGTTGTATGTGGCCGGTGGTTTTAACGGGCCGCCACGCCATCCCATCACTGGAGTCTGGAATGGGCTGGCATAATAGACTTTCTGGGCCGGGTCTGCTGGGTGTGGGCCGGAATTCGGTATCCTGCAATGGGGATTCCGAATTTCATCCGAAAATTTCATCGGATTCACCTGACACTGTCGTGGTAGCTATATTTTGCGTCCAAGATCAAATTTTATTTTTATTTTTATTTCTGCCCGCCGCTTCTGACAAAAATGTCGAGGGTAATGCAATTATACTTGAATATTCATTATCTGAACTAATGCTATGTTCATTAATCAATATGAAGTGTGTCAAATGTTCAAGTTCAGAGTCAAGGTAAAATAATTTACACATGTACCTGGAACAACAAATCCAAAAATCAAAAAGCAGCTTTCATGAATTTCACTTTCGTCACTCTGTACCAATGTGTCTCGTGGCCTTCCATCACAGCAGGAATCAACTAGCGCTCCCGGCAACAAAAATGGGACATTTTTCAATGAAAATATTCCTACTTATTCAATATTCCTAACTTGTTAATCAAATGGTCAAAATATTCCTACTTAATATTCAATATTCCTAACTGGTTAATCAAATGGTCAAAATTTTCTCAACTAGTCCCATCTTGACTCTTGCCGATACAATGATGATACGTTAATTAATAATATGACGATATGAAAATCACAGGTTGATGGTTGTAAATTACTTGCAGGTCGTGGTTTTGGCCTAAATTAATCGATTTATGAGATATATTATTTGACAGAGGTTATAATCAGATATGCCACCAAATCGCATATTTGGGGTTCATTTTTCAAAATTTTCCCGGGGGAGAGCTCCCGGGACCCCCGTCCACGGTCAGTAAAAGGGGCCACTCCGACACAGCAGCCCGGGCTGGTTCCCGGTCCCAATCCGCCCCTGCTCCCACCCGCTCGACTAACGTTCATCCTTGCCAGGCCCTCCGTCCAGTTACATGGACTGTAGCATCAGATCACGAGGAACACAAACCTCGTTCTTTTATCTACTCAATGAAAATAGAATATAGTTGAAATTTAGCACTCATAAAAAAGATAGCTTATACATAACCATTTAAAATACGTTTACAGGATTTTTTGACAGGAGACAGAGTCCCTAAAGATCCTGAAGCCCCCTCATCCCATCTGTAAATCCTGCACTGGGTAATAGAACTTTGTTTTTTCCAAGGCAGAGAAACCTCATCAGTGGAATGTATTAAGTTAATGACACAATAACCCCATCTCAAAAGGTCAGACTTATTTGGTCACCGGAGAAATAAGTCTACGTAAAATCTATGCATGGCGCTCTATTCGGGTCGGTTTTTTTTCCTGGGGCCGAACAAATCGGTTCGGCCCCATGATCCACCGTTCCGAATTGCGTTTGTTTATGTAGTATGCGCCGTTAGTTGTTAAAAGTGTGTATCCTAAAAAGTGTATCTGCGCCGAGGAGCAGCATATCGTGTTGGCATTGGGTGTTATATAAATGCACTATTATTCATTTATTGAATCGGTGGGATGGAGACTAGTGGCGCAGCCAGAGAAACAGGGCGACTAGTGATATACCGAGAATGACAGGAAGACTAGTGATACAGCGAGAGACATAAGACGAACTGTGGTACAGAGAAAATGAAATGAAATGAAATGGGGTTTAACGTCCTACTGTTCTGCTCCTAACCTGTGCTAATGAAGACGGGCATATGCCATACAGTGTGCTGAGGGAAATTTTGCCCGGGCAGCGGCGCTACGGCCTACTCTTAAATCGAATTCCATATGCCAAGGGATCTTTTACGTGCACGCCAATGTGTACACGGGACCTCGATTTTTCGTATTATCCGAACGACTAGACAGCTGCCCTTGTCAGGCCCTCCATCCTGCATCACTGTCAAGGGGAAACCACGCCGGAAAATCTGAATGAACTTTCTCAGCCAATGCGAGCCAGCGTCTTACCCACTTAGCCACGTGATCCCCAGAGAAAATGAGAGTGCGACTAGTGAGACAGCGGTGATACGGCCTACGCTTGTATCGAATTCCAACTGAGAAGGAATCTTAGCCACTTAGCCATGCGATCCCCCAGAGAAAATGAGAGTGCGACTAGTGAGTGCCTTTTTACAATGATAGTCCAATCTGTCGTTATTTAAATAATATCATTATTATCTTCTATATACTAATATTTGTGACTGTCGTTTGTCTGTCTGTCTGTCTGTTCGGGGTTGGCGGCTACACTAGGTCTGCCCCGAGTCTGAAATTTGGGGTATAGGGGTAGCTCGGACCGGGGAGTAACATAGGCCAGGTGGCGTTAGTCTACCACTTCCGGTTTCGGGGTTATGACCCCCGAGCGAAGCCGGGCATTCTTCTAGTCAACTCATAACGGGCTAGCTGTTGTAACAATGATTAATGAGCTACTAATTATCCTTACCATTGCTTTAGGAATGTGTAAACCTAAAAATGTCTGGATCTGAAATGGCATTTAATGACTGAACAAGCAAAAATGAAAACGTGACGAATCTTAGTATATTTTTATTTATTTCCCTTTCCTTGGATTTCTTTACAAATAAATGGACTAAATACAATAAGATATACATTTATGTCTTTTATCAATTATAGATATAAAACTATCATTTTATCTATAACTGGACTAGCTTCATCATGATAAACATTTGTCTTCATATACTACCATATACTCTAAAACAAACTTCCCAAAGAAAGTTAATATAAGTGCAGCAAGAAATTAAAAGTATGGTAAAGACATGTTAAATTATTAATTGCTTTCTACTTCTAGATATATCAATAAGAAATTATTGTATAGAATGTAACTATCGTATTACTACATGATGGAGACTAAATATCTCCTGTATTACTTTAGTCTGAAGCCAACCAAATGTGGAATGTGGCCAGGACTCCAATAATACCATATCTATATCCTGTTTAGAATAATGGGTAGCTAATTAATGGATAGCCGACACGCGAAATGAGCCTCTTGAATGCTCAGTCGCAAGTTTCCTAGGAAACACTTGTCTGTGATATCACCCTGACGACCATGGGGGAAGGCCATGATTTCATTCTAACCAGGTATATCTCGAAGACATAATTGTTTTAATTTGATATTGTTTTCCTCTTTATAGAATTATTTTGAAGGAATGTTTAGCTTAGTACATCATATAACAATAAAGTTGTATTTACCAATTTTAATTAACACAAAAACATAAAAAAAACAAACGGGAATGATTTCTTTTGTTTTTAGAATTTACATGTCGATTGTGGTGTAAGGGGAGATAATATGATAATAAGGACATTTTGACAGAGTTGTTCCTCTTCCCTATACGTTTTTTAATAATTCTTTATTCCTCTAAAATAATCCATATGGAGAATAAAATATGTATTATCTCCATAATTTCATTAACAAATATTTTAAATAATTTGATCTTCAATTTTTTAACCCAGTAAAACCAGAACTTATAAAATATTTTTGAAATGACCTCATTTGTTTCAAGTGTTTTTTTTTCTTCATTTACAGAATTTGTCTGTTTTACTGTAAACAAGAAGTAAAGCCACCAATAAAATACTGCTTTAAATAATATGACCTATGCCTTGTAGCATTAATATCAATACATATTTTGTTATTCAGTGTGAGCAGTACCAAGCATATTAATTTAGAAAACAGAAAGATAAGGCAGGTCACATTTATTTCAATACTATGCAACTTATGTCACTAATTTCTGGTTTTACAGTACTGCTATAATATATGAGGCCATATTCCCAGGAATTTGTTCTTGAATAAATGCATTGAAAAAAATGTACAAATATATTATTACTTATAATAACTTTTCATTCTTCATTCAACTTCACGTCTACCAAATATTACATAATATAAATGTTGAATAATAAAATTAATAATAATGTTCACAGCCATGTTTAGATGATGGTAGTAGAGTTATCTATCCTTTAACAGAAGCCATACCAGGTGTATCTTTACGTACAGGTTCTACATCGGTTAACTGTTTACCTAAATATTCCCTGTAAATATAAAACAAATTGATAATGGTTTAAACAATATTAGCAATGTTTACAATTATTTATAGTATCTAGGATACAAAAACAAATATAATTATGCTTAAAAATATCATGTACTGATTTATATTAAAACAATGCCACCCACATCATCAAAATTGACACTATGATCCGGACACATGTGTGGCTAAAGTCAACATATGCTCTGATGCGAACTGACCCAATGATACTGTTGTTGATTTTAACTTTCATATAAGAATGATAGAATTATATGTGTTAAATAATCTAAATAATATTTATTTTTTTTCCATTATACATGTAATGCCAATACCTACCAGTTATGAACCATGAGTTTTTGTACAGCTATCAAAGCTTCATATCTAACATTAGGATCTTCATGTCCTAAATACCACATTACTTTTTGTTTAGCTCCCAACTGTTCTACAACACTGTAAACAACAAATATACTTATTTATTGTACTTTTATATATAGTGTAATTTTTGACATCTCGTCGACCGACAAATTGTTTTCTAGATTAAGATATACAGGAAATCATGTAGGTTAGGGAATTCAATCTAGGTCGTTTCAGTAGTTAATCAATTAAGGTATGTGTTATTACACCGTAAAGGGGGTCGATCACTTAATTACTTAATCAATCCGGTTATGGTTACCCTCATAGCCTCAAATAGAGTCATACTTTGTTAATAAAAGGTATCACAATTTGTTCTTTTTCTGAATTCTGGAAACTATTTTGATACTAAACTATAACACATACTTATGCCTCTTAAAGATTATTATCTTAATACTAGATAACAAATAAAAAAATAAAAAGAATCTGCAATGGCTGGACTTCTCCTTTAATCAACAAACAAGGGATCTTTTACCAGGATGACCAATTCATACAGTTGATCCTGATGTTTTATTCAGCTGTGTCCAACAGATATTTATAAATGCAACTTACTTTTTTCCTCGTGGATAATATCGGACATATTCTCCTATATCATGGGCTGCTACAGACAGAATTAAAGGATCTTTACTTGTATCTAACAAACGTACCAGTATTCTGAAATACAGGTCAAGATAATAAATCATCTAATATGTCCAGATAATAAATCATCTAAAACAGTTCAGACTTCAAGAGAAATATTGTATACAATGTATAATAATAGATATATAATAATAGATGTCTAGTGAAGCACTGACTGAAGTGATTTTATCCATTGTATAATAGATGTAGGCACAACAAAATCACTGAACATATAAAATCTAAATTGTCCAAGGTAATAAACTATAACACATACTTATGGAAGAACAATTACTAATTTATTTGGACAATGTTTCGAAGAGTATTCTTTCACCGTTTTCAAGCAAGGTAATAGCAATGTTACTGTATTTTTTTTTGTTTCTATGACAAGATGTGTAAAGTGAGATAGTAGAATTTTGCCTATACTGCAGACTCTTCTGTTATGTGCTAAAAAAATTTAACATGTAAAGACGTTGGTTTTTTTTTCAGTCCACTATCTTTATCATTCCATACGTATATACCGTATATATAAATTCAAATATTCTCTTATCTTCATTAGCCCAGTTGGACCAGAATAGTAGGACGTTAGACCCCATTTCATATTAAATATTCTCTAATGGGGAGTTTAATTGTGTCTCCTTCCTCAACAAAAAGGATCAAATATGTTTGGACCCTTATATAATATGACCCATATTAAACATCAGTTTATACTTTTACTCACTTCAAAAGTTCATAATTTTTCTCATTGAGTCTAATTGCATTTTCTCTCCAGAAACGATCTGATTTGTGAACAGGACTCCACTCCAGTCGACCAGATTTAATTTCTGTTGTATATTCATCAAACGAACTGAAACAAAACATTCATTTGGTTTAAATTTTCATGTTTCCTCAATTTACCATCAAGACTCTCACTGTGATGTTAATTACCATATTTTTCAGTGGATGAGGCACACTTTTTTTTTGCCAAATATCTTGATTTTAGAAGAACTGTAGCTTTTTTTCATGTCGACATTGAAATCTAAAGACGAAGAAATAATTGCCAGGGAATCAACACATGTTGACCATGTAGTAGCGTACTGTTTAGTAAGTTGTAAAAAACATAGACATGGGCATGCTCACCAGCAGAAAAGATGTCTGAAATAAATCTAAAATCTATTATGACCTCTATGCTAAACTTTAAAGTAAAAATGGGAACGGAAAATTAATGTTCAAAAACTACTGTCCTAAAATTTAGAGATTCACCAGGGGCCGCTAATGAACAATCTCACCAGGTTTTAAAAAATTCCATTGAAAACTTTGTCCTGTATCACATTCACAAGACCGAATTTGAAAGTAAATGGGAATAACTCTGAAATATACAATGGAATTATTCTGAATTTCAATAGACTCCCTCCTTATGCCCATATGAACAATCAGTGTGTCCAACTCACCTTAAATCTTGTACCGAAGCCTGTAATTTCTCATTTAAGAATTCGAGATCATCTATTATATCTGGATCATCAAATTTTCTTCCCTCCAATAATTCTAGTTGTTTTAATACTTTACATTGTACCATAGATAGAGCATGGACATGTTGAATTTCTTTCTCTTCTGGTTTCTCTATCAAATTCTACAAAATACAACCAGCTAAATTTAATAATTGGAACACAAACTTAGTTGAAGTGGTATACAAATATATTCTTAGAATATATTTATGTTTGGTATAATAGTGAATATGTTGAAATCCTTCTACGGCATTTGGTAACTGAACATATGATATAAAACACAAATTTATATGGAAAACAATCGCTGGGTTTATTTCACACTACGTTTCAACAAGTTCCTCTTGTCGTTCTCAAGTGAATATGTTTAAATATTCTGCACAAATGGGTTACCGTTCGCATGTATTTATATTTGCATAACCACAATCTGAGCAATGGGTCGTGTAAAATTAAATGGCCTTGTGTAACAGCTTTGTGACAATAGCAAAACTATGAAAACTGTGCTTTGAATTTGTTGTTTGAATACTGTTTTGTATAATGATTGAGACTTTTCAAAAGAAAATTTGTGGACTTATATTTTCTACTTACTCTCAATGTAGCTAGAATTATCCTGGTTACCTTCTCTTTCACAGATTCACTCAAAATATCAGCTAGGATTGGAATTATATTATACCTATAAAATATTTATATTTAATTTAGTTTTTATGAAGGGTGGCTTTCAAGTTTTCAGGTCATGTGTAATATTCTAATAAATTTATGAGGTATCGTTATTGGGTCTGAATTTTGATAGAAACCATGCCACTTGACTTGACTCAATGAAAGACCGTATGATCTAAAATATATGCATTACGACAACCCGACTACCTGAGACAAATATGTGGCGGATAAAATGACGCGCACCTGAGAATAGTGCCCGACATAACCCTGAATTTGTATCAGTGACAAGTGTCTTAATGACAGGTTTCCTGCAAGGTCATGTATAAGGAATTGAGTCACATTAACAAATATTAATCAGCTGACGGTACTTACCTGTTCATTCTTTCAGCTAGGTCAGGGTTAAAGGTCAAACACCAAAGACAAAAGGTCAACTGATACTGAATCTGGAATCCTACTTTACTACCAGCTAATACTGATACAATACTGAAATACAAAAACATATATTCAGATAATAGAATATGAAAGTACAACAGAAGAGTTAATGTTAACTAATTAAATGAAAAGTCGTATCAGATGTTCTAGAAGAGTAAGCATACCCCTTATGCCCTCATTTTTGTCAATAAATCAAATTTTCAAATTTTTTTTCTCCAAATAAGCAAGACATTCTTTAATCTTTTCAAAGAATATGACAGTTTCAATTTGGAGTCTTAAAAATTAACTGACAGATATATTCTCTTGCCAGACAATGTCACTGTCAGTCAGTCAAAACCGACAAATATGCCCAAAATAAGTGCCACAGTTTGGACCAGAATTTCAGAAGAAGAAATATCTGATCGATACGTACGTCCACAACATTTTAATATAACCTATTTTAATATGAAAGAATAGCTTACGCTGATATCCCCTCAACTTCCACAAACATATTACGATACTGATCTACTCGTAACATCATCTGTAGACATCTGGCTGCTGTCTGTAGATATTCATTACCCTGTAATATTTCATAAATAACATTATCACAAAAATCAACAAAGATTTAGGTGTGATAAATATACACCTACATGTAAGCCATTGCTTTTTGTGTGTAGTTACTTCCCTTTGTTACAGACCCACATGGCCTTTACTGGTTAATTATAGAAAACATCATAAATTTTACAATTGGTGTTTTGTTTGATAAATCTACAATCACCACTGTTGTAATATAATTTGCCAATGGGTTGAGAGTGTAGTTACCTCCCTTTGTCACAGTGCCACATGGAGTCTACTTGTCAATCAAATAGCTCATTTCTCGTGAGGTTTTCTACAGTCATAAATATCATGCACAGTGACATATTTTAATGAACAGTTTAACTTGGAGGTTTCTGTGTAAACATAGATTCATCTCTATCTTATATTATGTCTACAGAGTCCTTACATATATTACTAACTTTTTTCTTCATTATAATTTCTCAGTTAACCATATTATTGTTAAGAATGTCCGTTTCCCAAAGTGATTGGTTTACTGTCTATGTTTGATCAAAATTATGCGGATGGTTGATTTTGTATGAACTCTTGCTAAGGAAAATATAGTCTCTTTAGCCTGAAATGGCTGTCATGTCATTTGTCATTAGGTTAAGCTTCTGCGACGAAAATTCTTGGGAAAATCTGGGTTTTTTTTCCTTCCGTATATTCTTTCATGATATTACTAGTATTATCCTTAGACTTGTTACCAGTCTATTTATCAAGTACTTTTTGATTTGTCTAGAGAAACTTTGTTAACCAATCATAATTTGACAAGACTACAATGTTGTGTAAATGTACTTACCGGTTTATTGAGTTGTTCTTTCAACCAGTTTAAATAAAACTGTAAATTCTTTTTATCCATAGCTTCTTTACTCCAACAAGCTATTTTAGCTATAATTCTACTAGACTGAAAATATATCATACAAATTTAAAACAGAAATCTTTTATTTAGGAGTATATGGACAAAGCTGATGCTGGGTTCCCACTCTCATGATTCGTGCTACGATTGAAATCATGGTTTTAATTGTGGAGTAATCATGGTGATCCTATCAGGTCTTATCATATATTGGGGTCATATTAATTGTATCGAAACGTATCCGAACGTATCTGCATGTAGCAGATCGTGGACTCATAGGGACAATCCCATCGTAACGCATCGCACGGCAGTGGAAACATAGCATGATTAAGAAACATAGAAAAGTAAATCAATTTGAAATAAATGTTAAAGATTTGTTTGTTAATTTCCAGCTTACATTGGTTGAATACATGTAACTCGACACTACCTGAACTTAGCTCAACCTAAAACTTGAAATGACTCAAACTGCTTCTCAATAATATACTATTCAAAAAAAGTAGGGGATATTTGATTTTTAAGTGTTATTAAAGTCACCTAATGAAACTGACGAAGAAACAAATGACAAAATGAAATGAAGTTCACATTCATCGATTTATTTCAAATGATCGTTAGACTAAGTAAGGCACAGACTGACCATTATAAGGGTAAAATGATACCCGGGGTCAAACAGCAAAGTTACCACAGCATCACAACCAAGTCAGTAACGGGTAAATCCTCCTCTGTTTGCCAAACAAGCATTGATCCGACGTGGCATACTCCTAATGAGACGTCTAAGGTCATTTTGGTCCAGATTGTCCCATTACTGTTGCAACGCAGCAGCAAGTTCTTGGACATTGGCAGGACGTTGTTGACGTTGACGTAACCTCTGTCCAAGCATGTCCCAGACATGCTCGATGGGGGAGAGGTCGGGACTCAGTGCTGGCCAAGGTAATGTGGTGATGTTCTGTTGTTGGAGGTAACCTGTAACGATCCTGGCCCTGTGACATCTTGCGTTGTCATCCTGGAAGATGAAATGGCGGCCATGACGTCGTGCGAACGGCACAACATGGACTGCCAAGATGTTGTCCCGGTAGTACTGGCCTGTAACACACCCTGCAACAACATGTAAAGCCGTTCTTCCAGCAACAGTGATGCCTCCCCACACCATAACAGAACCACCCCCAAATCGATCATGTCTGATGACGTTAACGTCTTGGAAGCGCTCGTTTCGACGACGCCACACCCTCCTACGTCTGTCCAAAAAATCAACAGTGAACCTTGACTCATCTGAAAACATCACATTGCTCCAGCGTCGATTATCCCAGTGTTGACGATCCCTACACCAACGACGTCTTGCCTGAATGTGATGATCTCTCAAACAAGGGATCACGCGAGGACGTCGGGCGCGAAGGTGACCCCTATGCAGTCGATTCCGAATCGTCTGGCCACTCACTCTCACACCAGTGTCTGTTTGAAGACGAGCGCTGATCTGATTTGCTGTGATGACACGATTTCTCAAGGCCAAGGTACGGATAAATCGATCCTGGGCTTGAGTTGTCGCCCTTGGTCGACCTGAGCGTGGTCTGTCCTGTACAGATTGTGTATCGTGGTATCTGGACCATAGCCTGCTTATGACAGACTGAGAAACATTCATCGTCCGCGCCACAACCGCCTGTGTTGTGCCGATCTGTAGCATGCCAAGGGCACGTAACCTTTCATTTTGGGTAAGCCGACGCATATCAAAATTTGTTTTCTGGTCACTAAAACAATTAAACTGATGTTTCCACCCTGGAATTCAATGCCACAATGACTGTAACATTCAAAGTCAGAGTCGTGCAAATCTTGGGTTGGACCCCCATGATGATCCCAAGCATCACCTGCATTCCATGCGGTAGCTATTGGTGCGTTTGGGCGTCACATGTAACTGGAAATGTTTCTTCTGTTAGGTTCTATAGTGACTTTTTTCGTAGTCATTTGCATATTTTAGTATTATGCCCCCAAAATCAAATATCCCCTACTTTTTTTGAAAAGTATATTTTCTTACCTGATAAACTATGAATTTATCTTCTCTTTCTAACAGATGAAAAAATGGTGACCACACTGATTCCTTCCTTTTCTTGGCAAATTCTTTAAATATTTCCACTCTTGCTTTATCTTCCTACAGACATAAAAAAAAGACAAATATAATAATAATAATAATAATAATAATCGTTTTCTATAGCACTGAACATTCAGTCAGTCTGACTGCTTTGTGGCACTTTAAATATCAATTTTTATCCTCTAACAGACAAAAAACAACTAGACACAATTTCCCGCCAGAAATCTATGTGTAAAACTTTCCATAATATAGATGAAATGTCTATTTTATTGACTAGACCAGAAGACGTGCTTGGTAACAGCAATTATGAAAAAAATTAGGGTCTAGTTTGGCTATAAACTAAAAGTAGAAAACAATACAGTACCTGAAGGCCATCATCCAACATAGTTAATATATACTGTAAAGTTTGATCTTTAGCTATCTGACCAATCAAATTATAGAATGTAGAGGCAAACTGAAAAATAACAAAAAGCATAAATGATTTATACTATCTATCCCTAAAATAAAACAGAAGTACAGATTAAAAGTAACCATTATTTTGGTAATTTATATACTTAAATGTAACATGTATTATTATTGCAAAAATATAACCCTAACAAAATTCATACAAAATAAACAATTATCTTCGATTGTGGCCTCATTATTAGTCCTTCATATTAACAGATCCATTTAAACTCAATGCAGTCACGAAACAGAAATACATAAATGTGAATTTAAATCCTGATTTTTCAAAGTTATCAACGGCCATAACTCTGGCAATTATTATCGTAAATTCTTCATAACGTTAGCCTCTAGAGCTTCCACAAAATTATCACAGTGATTAATGTCCATCCATAATCCATAACTGACAGTAACTAGTGAACATCATTGAAAAGCAATATGCTTTTTCGCTTTGTGACCATAAACACAGTCAATCTGATAATAACTTTAGCCTGTAGAGCATCCACAAGCAATAATGGACAACGGACCGACGGATGGACAAACAGGGGTGACGACAATGTACAACCACATTTCAATTATATAGTGAGTAACAAAATTACCTGTAATGGATTTTCTTGCAACATGGCTGATCTACTTTCAGCATTGCTACTATCAAACTTAGATATAAAACTGTAGATATCTGATGATATCATCTGGCCTCTGGAAACATAATAAAAAAATTCATCAAGCCTCTGCATGTTGGATATGGTACTCTCTAAATATACAAAATTTAATACAAAACTGTAAAAGTGAAACTGCAAATTTGTAATCCATGCCTATATGTAGACTAAATAACATGTACTTACTGTAGATAGGACTGCCAGTTAACTCTGTTGGCTCGTACATCATTGGCTCTTTCCTGTAGAAGACTTGTTGCCACTTGAGCTCCTGCAGAACACAAACAAAATATTATACAGTAAAATCTGTATTCAGCAGCCACTCAAACGGAATTTTCATGACTGACCGCTTAACGGGAGTGACCTCATATTAAAATCTCAGTGTTTGTTAGTGCTGATATCAAGTAAAATTTAACGCTTGGATGTAACACAGTCACACATGTTCCATACACTTCAGACAAAGTACTGTGGATATTGACCATCAACACTACTACTATACTATTCCTCCCATGATTTTCTGACATGGTTTCCCGGTGACCATGGTGAAGGAGCGAGGCATGGAAAAGCATCTAGCTGTTCAGATGGGACATGTACATGTGCACATTGGCTCACACAGAACCCTGGATTGTTGGAATTCAAAATAAGAGTATGCCATTTTGCCACCGTCTAGGCAAAATATCCCTCATAGCACACCGCATGGCATACATGCCCTTCATCATTATGCCCGGTGGGTGTAGAAAAGTAGGATTTTTAACCCCATTTTGATTCATTTACTTGAATGTTATCTGTTCTACATGTAATTGAGTGTGAAAAACTAAGTTAAGTTATTTAAATGCTTTTTTCAAGAAAGAAAAAGTAATTACGATCAATACAACATGATTCCAACTCCTCTTAAATTATGTTATTACATGTATGTCTGTTAGTCAAGTGGCAGGGTTTCAAATTTTCGATCCATGGCTTATACATATACATGTGACAAGTAGTAGGGTTGTCTGGGTTTTTTTAACATTGTGGGTTTTCACAAGATTCTCCAGTTTCTTCCCACTGCTAAGACCCCTACGTGCAACTGAACTATTAAAATAAAATGAAATGGGCTAATGAAGACGGGCATACGCCTTACAGTAAGCTATGAAGGAAATTTTGCCCGGGCACGGCGCTACAGCCTACTATTATATTGAATTCCAACTGCCAGGGGATTTTTTACATTCACGCCAATGTGTACATGGGACCTCGGTTTTTCGTCCCATCCGAACAACTAGACAGCTGTCCTTGTCAGGCCCTCCATCCTGCATCACTGACAAGGGAACTGAACTATTAAAATAAATATTATCAGATGTATGTATGTATGTTAGTCCCTAAATGACCTAGGTTATGTTGAGTGGATGTTAAACACTGTATCCTTTTTCTCTCTTTTACTATTTAAGGTCATAAAGGGTATTATTAAAAGACCTTTCACACAGGAATATATCTGTTTAATAGCAAATCAATGAGTGAAAAACAGATTATTATAAAATATTTCTTAAATATTTTGGCCTTGAATAGCATTCTATAAGTATCCTATAAACCTCATTAATTTTCTATGATTTGTGACTCTGATTGTGTGAAATATAAAACTTATGATTTAATCTAGGTAAAACAGGATATAAACTAATCACATGTGTGTTGATTTAAAAACAAAATAAAACAACACATCCTCTTCATAATTCAACTACATTCATTAAAGACATAAAACAAGCCAGATCAGAAACATGAAAAAATGTACTCTTTAATGTTTAGATTAGGCAGTTGTTGGTATGTAATTAAGTAAACCTGGGCTGAATTATTGTTACTGTACTACATGTACATGTTATTTGTCTAAGTTTATCCAATAGTGTTGAGATACGTGTATAACCAATTTTTAAAAAAAAATGGCCGAATGGTTAGCATGTGCACGCTGTATCAACTGGCATGGTTTTGATTCCCCGGTTGTGTGTGACAATAAGAAGGGTCGCCTGTCCAACCTCGTGGGTTTTCTGTGGGTCCTCCAGTTTCCTCCTACTGCTAAAGATCTCTACGCCCAAGCGAATTATTGAAATAAAATTCAACCAGGAGTGCACATTAAACCCCTTCTCATTCTCTCTCTCTCTCTTCTCTCTAACCAGTTTTGTGTTTCAATGGTAATACAATGAACCATAAATTAAACTAAAAATAGTAATCAAGCCAACTTGTTTCAATAATTTAATTTAATTTACAGGTACAAACATTTTCTTAAGATGTATGTGAACTACCTAAAAGAGTACCGGTAGTAGTGATGATACCAAGTGCTATAGAAAGCAAGCATACTCTGCCTCATGTAAAACAGCTAATGGTTCTTATAACTAATTTGGCTTTTCTTTGGGTCCTCTGGTGTACCCTCATTGACCCCAATCTAAAGACCACTACAGTACATGCAAGAGAATAATTGGAACAAAATTGTACCATTAGTCCCAAAATGACCTGGTTTGTGTTGAGTGAGCATTAAACCCCATTAGGGTTTAGTAATCTTGGGACATTACAGCATATCTTAATCTATTTTTATCTTTAAATAATTTGGTTGTCAAGAAAGACCAAGCCAACAATCTCATATCTGTGTTGTTAGCTAAACTTAGAGTTAATAGTTTTCCATAGTCATTAGTGTTAAAATCAATGGAATAGTGAACAAGGATAAATTCTGAATAAAACCTAATTTTCAAATAAATAAGTTTGACAAAAAATACTGATAAAATATTCCAATCCAAGATCTATCATTTGATTTTGGTTTTTTTTGTGAATAAAGTTGGCTACATGTATATTTATTGGTTTACATTTCTTTAATGGCAGAAAATATTGAAATATACCATATTATAAAGCACTTTAATTTAAAAGAAGAAGAAATTTTGATTCAATTCGCTTTATTTTGATGATAATTCAAACAAGAAAACATACAAAAATCGAACACCTGAAACCCACATCAAAAACATACAACAATGTAAAATTTAGAGAATGTCAATACTAGCCTAAAAATCATAGACTGGCCACAATCAGAAAAAGACAGAATTCATTTTCAACTCATCTATTATTTCAAATAAAAGCAGACGACATTTCAATACTTATTACTTAAAGTTATGAATATGATTTTGATGGTTTTCTTTGGCCGATTTGTGGTTGATAAAACTATAAATTTTATGTTATTTTTTAGACTCACCTTTCTCCAAATCCTCGATATTTGAAATATCCATCATGATGAATTAAAACAAATACTGTAAGTCCTTGAAATATCAACTGATATTCGCTTATTCCAGATTTATTCTTGATAATTTATTTTTCAATCAAGGTTATCAAGCCACCATTTTGATTATACACGATCATGTGACAGATGATATTATCCATTTTCCGTAAAAGAGCTGCTGTTAAAGGGAGAAAACTCCAAAACAAAAATAATGGAGGAAGACCCACTATCACAATATTAACAAAAACATACCACGGCAAGTACTAGGTGTACGAAAGTGCATTAGCGCCAAGGAGCAAGCGCATCCATAATACGACGTAGATCTAGAACTAAATAATGCGATTCGACGGAGGCTGACCAAAACTAAGCTTCACAGATTCTTTACATATTTTCCTAGCAAAACTCTTCTGTAACCTCGATATATGTAATTATTGATTCGTATAATAACATGCGATATACTCCCAACTTGGTAGGGGATAAATATAACTCTAAATATTTAGTGATGGTGATGAGCATGAGATGGAGTGAGTGTGTTTCGGGGGGGGGGGGCGCTCCGTCACTGCAGCTTTGGATGGGCCTTAAAAACGAACAAATGAATATATTTATTCTGCAAGTTTATCATTAAATAATGCACAAAATTATACAGCTTAAAACATCTGTTGAGACGTGTTCGATTGTATTATCTCGAGCGCTCGAATTAATTATCTCGAGCGCGCGACTTAACTATCTCCAGCGCTCGAATTAGTATCTCGAGCGCGCGACTTAACTATCTCCAGCGCTCGAATTAGTATCTCGAGCGCTCTACTTAATAGCTCGAGCGCTCGAGATATTATATTATTATTTTTTTTTTTGCTTGTCCTAAATCAGCCACCGCACTAATGGTTCATTACGTAATTTAATATTCAAAGTAGCAGGGAGGATATTTCTTTTTTGTTGCTTCGTTATTACCATAGTTTTTGTTTTCGATATATTTATTCCCACATGGTTTTTATCACACCAGGTTAATACTATATTGGCGCCAAGTTGAAGTTTGTGTTCTAATTCTTTGATAGTACACCCAGAGGTGTTAAGGATTGTGTCATCCGCAAATAGGTCAGTTTTAATGGATAGGTATAAAGGTAAATCATTTATAAAAATAATAAATAATATGAATATGGGTCCTAATATTGATCCTTGGGGTACACCGTGATAAATAGTTTTATTCTCAGATAATATGCCATTAACAGATTGCACTGACCTTTCTTTTTTTTAAGTATGATTCTAGAAAGAGAGTTGATTTTCTAGAAAATTTAAAATGTTTACATTTGTCAATAAAAATATCATGATTTACTAAGTCGAACGTTTTTTTAAAGTCAAAGAATATTGCTCCACAAAGGAGATTGTTGTTAATATAATCATACATGTTTTCAGTAATATGTGTTAAGGCTGTTTGACAAGTGCTAGATAAACGGAAACCTGATTGATTACTATGTAGAAGTTGATATTTATTTAAATACTTGTTAAAAAGTTGTTTAACATGTCTTTCATGATTTTTTCATATACTTGGAAGAATTGATATCAGCCCATAATTATTGTGGACATCTTTGGTACCTCCTTTATGAAGTGGGATAACTTTAGCTTGTGTAAATAAAGAAGCGTACATGTTATGATTTATTGACAAGTTAAAAATGTGCGTGTGACTAGCAGAAAGTTGAATAGCACCTAATCGGAGAAATAGTGGATTTATTGAATCAAGATATTAATTATATCGGCGTATTCTTTGATATTAGTCAAGATTATAAAATTTAGGGACGGACGACAAATCAGAAACGGATTAGATTATTCGGGTGGAATGTCATTGAAGCTGTAATATAATTAAATAAGAAACGAAATGTATTGAGAATAAAGACGACTTTAATGAGTCTAACTGATACGAGGTAATTTGTGCAGTCGATGGGACCAAAGATTATCAGCCCTTTCTAGTAGCAACCGAGGGTCAGTCATTATATTATCGCCATTACAAGTAATCTGTAAAGTAGCACTCCGACGTCTTAAAAATATTATCATCTGATGCATAGCGGTCAGCGAACCTGTTCGCGTTTGTGGTCACATCACTGGGGGTTCGCGTGATAACTAATTATATATAATAACTGTACTATTAAATATTACACACAATTACAAAGCTTTAGATTACAGATATATACGCGATTGATAGATAAAAGAATAAAACAATTTAAAAGGGTTTAAACTGGGTTTAAATTGTCGCGAGTACTCATAACATAGAAGTTTAGGATTCACATTAAAATCACCTTCTTCTTGAAAACTAGATACCACCACCTCACCACACCACCACCACCCGACACTTTAGAAATAATAACAGAGAAACGACATAAAAGGCAACCTGGTTATTTTCATGTTATAAACATTAGCCATAAACACAACTATTTTGCTAATGTTTCTGAGATGCTACGCAGTTTTACATATACAGGGGTGGGGGTGTCCGAATGGTTAGCACGTGCGTGCTGTATCATAAGGTCTGTCATTGAGTCAACTGGCGAGGTTTCGATCCCCCCGTTGTACGTGGCAAGAAGTAGGGTCGCCTGTCCAACCTCCGGTTTCCTCCCACTGCTAAAGACCCCTACGCGCAAGCGAATTGTTGAAATAAAAAAAATTGAACCATGTGTTGGTCACGAAATGTCCTAGTTTGTGTTGAGTGGACGTTAAACCCCATTTCTCTCTCTCTCTCTAACCAGTTTTGTGTTTCTCTCTCTCTCTTTCTCTCTCTCTCTTTACATAATATTGTTGATATGATTCTCCATGTGGAAATTAGAATAAAATTAAATTGATCCCAAAACGGATCCTTGGGGGACCCCTGGAGCTAAAAGTGAGAGAGTAGATGAAAGATTGTTGATGATAACACTTTGTGAGCGAGCGGTAATTGTTCTCAAGATAATGACCCAGGCTGGATATTTTAATCAGTGATATTTGAATGCACCAAGCACAATATTTTCAAATATAACGCCATTTATGACGCCAGTCATAAAAGGTGCAAGAGTTGGCAAGCATTCCTTTAATGGTGGGGTGTATGTAAAATATGCGTTTTTGAGGTAGTTTACGGAACTGAGTTTTCGACATGAAAGTTTAAATGTCCTAAAATAAGTATTACGTGTTTGGTGGAAATAATTTTGTCGAAATAATTTGAGAATTCTTCGAAAAACTGCTGATCGGATTTGGAAAGATTGATAGATAATAAATAGAATAATTTTATTGGAAACTGAGATACTTATGAGTCCAGGTATTCAAATCTGCTAGGATGTACATATAACTGATTTGTGGATTAAAGCAATTTCCCCCGCTCCTTAGACTACCGGTAATCTAATTATCTTCAAACACTGTCTGCTTAAGTATGATATTTTTCAACAGGATTCACTAAACATCTTGAATACTGAAACCATTTAGAGAAATTTTTCCGGAATTGTCTCAAATTTTGCACATAATGCAACTGGAATATGCCGAATGTTAAATAAATAAAATATATCAATTTGCAAGTGGCCAAACCCTTCTAAAATGCTACGTCGCCTTCTCGGAGAAAATAAATGTATTCAATTTCTGGTAATCTCATATACAAAGTAACCTTAGAGTTATCCCATAACGAAAAATGTCAAGTACGGACTTATTTAGATGATAAGCCGGCGGGCTCGTAGATGGAGAGTTAAAACGTCTAAGTCTTCGTGATTTGCTAGATTTGCCTTTAGGTTTGCATGCAATCTAATTTGAACATCGCCCGATGTAAGCATTTAATCAAATCACGTCAAATCGAAAATTATTTGTTCACCTTCCGACTAGAAACTCCAAGGCGCTAAAGTCTCTTTAAACACTAATATCTTCATTTACAATGTCCGTATGTTGTGTGCATGATGTGTCTTGTCCGCCGGTTTGTCTTCTGGGTTTCTGTTTGAATGTTTTGTCTTGTGGACGTTACTATTAGCAAGAGCACTTTGACATAGGATATCTTATTTTGAACAATGTAGTTTTTACGAACATCATATTTTCAGAAATATTCACAGTAAACTATAGGGTCCCTATTCTAAATACTTTCGTTAGCCTAAATCGGTAATTGTTAGTTTTTAAACATAATCCGCGATAATTGCCTTCCGCCGTATAGTCGACGACCAGACGACTAGCGGATGGTGACGCAAAGGTACTTGTGCTGGTCAAGTTCTAGATCGAGTGCTTGACCCGTATTATTGTTGTTGGGTCACATAGCTTGTGTATTATTATTGTTTGCACTGACAGGGAATTACGGCTAAACATATCAATCTGGATGTCGTTATGGTCTATGAAGCTGTTAATTGGTGCCCCCCTTTCTATCTGTGAAAGTGATCTTAATTTCATAACTCGCACATTGCTTTGATGACAAATTATAGTTTACTGTGAGTAGGTGCTTAACTTGGTTGAACCAAACAAACCAAAAAAAAAAAAAAAAAAAGAGAGAGAGATTTTATTTCTTAGATTATCGCGAAGCTAAAATTAAACTTTAATTAAAAGGGGATTATCACTTTCAGCGACAAAAGTGCAATCACTTTTAGGGGAATAGATAAATAATTCAGGCCACTCATCTGTTTTCTCTATTTATTTAAACCAGCAAATGTTAGGATAAAATTAATTGTATTTCAGGCCAGGACTAATAACAAATTATTACAAATTACGAATTCCAACTGTCAAGGGGTCTTTTATAATACTTTATATGTACACGGGATTTGAGCCCCATCCGAACGACTAGACAACTGTCCTTGTCAGACCGTCCGTCCTGCACCAATGACAAGAGGAAATCGTGCTGGAAATCACACAAGAAGCGAGACCGCCTGGCTAGCAAGCGAGAGTCTTACTAACCGAGGCTGCGGCCTCCTGTAGTTAATAAGCCGAAAGTAAAAATCAGTTGAAGTAAAGAACAACGTTATCAACATAATCAATAAGATCGTTTATGAAAAATACATGAAGTACTTTATTCTCAATCTACTTTTTTATTCACCGACAAAACTAAATACGATCTTTTATCAAAAATAGAATCTTAGGGTGCTTTCTCGTGCTCAGTCTATTTTTTCTATTTCAAAGACAAAACTGGTATGACTATGTACTTCTCAACCCCGAAAAGAGTCCCGACTTTTGTTTTCGTACAAAGCGGTTATGACTTTTAATTCCGTACAAACCTAAGCTGATATTGATATTATCCTGTATATTATGTTACCAAAACAAAGAATGGTGTTAACTTGTCGACGAGAAATATATTATCACTAGACAAGATCTCCACCGTTTTAATACAACGCCTTTCAAATACAAAGTCACTCTTTAAAGGCACATTATCATTCTCACCAGGGAGCCGCGGTGGCTCTGTGAGTAAGACGGAAGTCCTGTGTTCGATCCCGATGCACTGAGAAAGTTCATCGGGATTTTCCGGCGTGGCCCCCATTGTCAGTGATGCATGACGGAGGGCCTGGCAAGGGACAACGTATAGTCGTTCGGATGGAACTATAAACCAAGGTCCCCTGTCAGAAAAAAATTCTCTCATAACACAGTGCTTGACGTATATTAAGCCGGATGGAGCAGAATGGCTCTTCAACGACAGGATTTGTACTTTAATATGAATGTTTATTGCTTTCTTGTCATCTAGTCGTTATATCAGTTACATCTATTATCCCTTTGTCTGTTTCGTCCTTTAATTTCTTTTCGTTCGGTACGAAAGGGTTATACGGCACATCTTCAACATATAATCGTACTAGCTATGTGGAGTGTCCAAACGGTTAAACATCCATTAACTGTTGTTGTTTAATAACGTCAAACATACGTACATGGACATAAGTTTCCAAAGAAACTGTTTGTTTCATTTTGGCGAGAGCGAGAGCAATGGGGTTTAACGTCCACTCGACACAAACTAGGTCATTTCGGGACTAACATATGGTTCAATTATTTCCATAATTCGCTTGCGCGTAGGGGTCTTTAGCCGTGGGAGGAAACCGGGGGACCCGGAGAAAACCCACGAGGTTGGACAGGCGACCCTACTCCTTGTCACGTACAACCGGGAAATCGAAACCACACGTGCTAACCATTCAGCCATCCAACCCCCCGTTTCATTTTGGAATTAATTTAGTTTGGTGCTAAAATTGACAAACACAACGCGCCCCAACTGCCTTTCCTTTATATTGGAGCCATGATGGATCAGTCAGCAACACTAATTGGGAGGTCTAGGGTTCGATTCGTGTGTTGGTCGAGAACGTTCCTTGTAATATTCTAACGTGGTGCAAGAAAGGGGTACTGACAAGGGAAGAAAAACACAAAAGAGCCCCGATAGTTTCAATTCAATAACAATAGGCGTCAACGTCGGTGTCCGGACAATATGTGTTAAAACCGATTTCATTTTTATTCATATCGCTTCTTTTTCTGTAGTGTTAATTGTGCATTTTGTTTTTTTTAGGTTCCCAAATTTCTGTCAACCTAACTCTAGGGATAAGCACTTATACGATATAATTATTTATGATTTTTGTTTCCAATGATCCGACGACCCGAAATCAGTTTGATAATCACCCATTTATTCATTAAAAAGCGCAAATTAATGTGCATTTTGTTTGAAGTTCCATGTATCTATTTATCTACAGATCTTCACCCTAAGCTTGTAGGTACAAAACCGCATTTTATGTTCACCGAGGCGAGACGATTCGGAGCAGGTATTGTTGTTACAGTTGGGTGGATTATAAAAGAATGCATTATTAAAGACGAGATTAGATGATGAGAGCTGATCAAGAGAAATATTACGGCATCTTTTCATTCGTTAATCACCCACTAATAAACTGTTTCAATTCAACATTGAAGGTCGTAAAAGGACGTCTTTTATTTATAAGTTGAAATAAAACGTCTTTCAATTCTGGACGGGAGGCATTAAATCAGGATTTCGTCTGTGGTGCGGTGAGTAAACAAACTCTTAGTATTAACCATTTTATATTGTCATCGTTATTGGGTCTTTTTTTTACTAAGATAAAATTTTACATACTGGTCGGCAGCCGAATTGCACTCTGCTGTTAAGATCACTGACACTGGTACACATATCCAAATAATTATAAAGCGGTATGAAAGGTACAGCAAGTCAGATTGTCTACATATTGTTCACATAGTCAAGCATGGTGTTAGTTAAGTTCATCTAAGTATTAAATAAAACTCACCGAAGAATATGCTGACTTGTATGAAAATGATAGGAGAATTATTATTACTCTATTTATCACAGACCGGTAATGATGGCGGGGGTGGAATCAAAAGAAATCAATGTAATCTTTAAATGGCCATAACCTAAGTTAGACCTGGTTAATATGAATAATCTTTTGACAAAAAAAAAAAAAATAAAAAAATAAAAAATTGTTAATAAAAGTAGTTTTCATTGATCAACGTCATTACTTGGAGCCAAAATCTAATAAGTGTGATAAAACTTAAAATTCAGCGCCATAAAAATGTATGTAGTACTATTTACGAATAACCCCAATGGCCTATCCCCAGGTACAAAGTAAGGACTAGGGGGCGTTGACCGTGTGAATACTTAATTGTGAGATTGACGAGATTGTATTCAGTTTCCATTAGCAGCCAATATTGCTAATATTTTTATGAGAAGCACGGTAATAGATGACAGCCAATACTGATTAGCTTGTAGCCAGTTTTTCATAGAGTCTTATAGCGCTAATATTACAATCTATATAATAAGCACTTACTAGATACCAGGAAATATTGAATATTTAATTGTAAGGTCGGATTTAAATATTAATGATATTGTATTCAGTTTCTCAAAACTCCTGTAGTATTAATATTTTATATAATAAGAATGTAATAGATACCAGCAGATATTTAATTGTGAGAAGGGCGATCACTATTAATAGACATGCATACACATTTGTGAGACTTTATTATCTAAATATTGATGAGATTGTATTCTGTTTCCCCAAGAATCTTATAGTGCTAACATTTCATATACTAAGCAAATACTAGATACCAGCAAAATGGTGAATATTTAATTGGGAGATCTTATCTGAATATTGATCATATTGTAGTTAGTTTCCCCTGGCATTTTTATGATGCGAATATTTTATAAAATAAGCACGTAATAGATACCAGCAAATACTGAATGTTTAATTGTAAGGCCGAATCTAAATATTGATGATATTATGTTCAGTTTCTTCTAGCATCCTATAGTGCTAATATTTCATATAATAAGCACGTAATAGATACTATCAAATATTGAATATTAAATTGTTAGACCGAATCTAAATATTGATGACAATGTATTCAGTTTCTTCTAGCATCTTATAGCGCTAATATTTCATATAATAAGCACGTTATAGATACAAGCAACTACTGAATATTTAATTGTGAGACGATATCTAAATATTGGTGAGATTGTATTCAGTTTACCCTAGCATCTTATAGTGCTAATATCTCATATAAAAAGCACGTAATAGATACCAGCAAATACTGAATATTTAATTTTGAAACCGAATCTAAATATTGATGAGATTGTATTCGGTTTCCCATAGCATCTTATAGTGCTAATATCTCATACAATATGCACATAATAGATACCAGCAAATATTGAATATTTAATTTTAAGGTCGTAGTTATTTGTAGACCATATTTAAATATGGATGATTTAGTATTCAGTTTTCCCTAGCATCTTATAGTGCTAATATTACATATACTAAGCACGTAATAGACACCAGCAAATACCAAATATGTAATTGTAAGGTCGAATCTAAATATTGGTAACACTGTATTCAGGTTCTTTTGCATCTTATAGGGCTAACATTTCATGTAATAAGCACGTAATAGATACCTGCAAATACCTAATAATTTATTGTATGGTCAAATCTACCAGAACATACCAAATATGTAATTGTAAGGCCGAATCTATATATTGGTAACACTGTAGTCAGTTTCCCCTAGCATCTTATAGGGCTAACATTTCATGTAATAAGCACGTAATAGATATCTAAATATTGATGAGACAGTATTCAGTTTCTCCTAGCATCTTATAGTGCTAATATTTCATATAATAAGCACGTAATAGATACCATAAAATACTGAATATTTAATTGTGAAACCGAATCTAAATATGGATGGGACAGTATTCAGTTTCCTCTAGCATCTTATAGTGCTAATATATTATATAACAACCACGTAACACATGCTGAATATCTAATTCAGAGACGATATCTAAATATTGATGAGATTGTATTAAGTTTCCCTTAGCATCTTAAAGTGCTAATATTTTATATACTCTTCAAAAAAAGTAGGGGATATTGAAATGCAAATACCCATGCAGGTTGTGATATGATTAAATAGTCATGGACACTGGACATGCTTTGAGGGTATGTTCACAGATGAAGAACTTATCGCCCCAACATAACCACTGAGCTGCACATGCGACACGCAATAGCGCCATGCACGTGGGAGGGGTTCATTGTCAAATTTGACACTTCAAGGAAGGGTTGATGAAAACTGCCGCGTGCTGGTTTATCCTACCCGTGCTTGCTTTCCTATCGGTTCTTCCATAAGATTTACTGTTTAGCGTAACTTTGCTTTAGTGTGTTACGTTTAATTTGATCGAGAGACGTGTTCGTCGACGTCAACGTCAACAGACAATACTTCAAGAATTGGTCGTGGCACTGCAAGAGGAGTGGCCTAGATTGCCCCAAATCCTGATTGGACGGTTGATTAGGAGCATGCCACGGCGAATTGCTGAATGTCTGAGGAATGTCTGAGCAATTACTCAAAAACGTCCATTTTCACTTTTGACAGTGTATCTCTTTGCGAGTGAAATGGGGCCGTCAGATAAGCCACCCATATGAACAGTTTATATTCATGTGTAGGCAATTGGCCTGTTATTAACACACACTGGATATCTGTGATAAAAACATCAGTGGATTTCCGCAGTTTTGTATTGAAGAGTATATAATAAGCACGTAATAGATAAGCCACTTTCCCCTAGCATCTTATAGTGCTAATATATCACTTAATAAACACGTAATAGATACCAGCAAATACTGAATATTTAATTGTGAGGCGATATCTAAATATTGATGAGACAGTACTCAGTTTCCCCTAGCATCTTATAGTGCTAATATTGACATATAATAAGCACGTAATAAATACCAGCAAATATTGAATATTTAATTTTAAAGCCGAATTTATTTGTAGAACTTAACTAAATATAGATGATTTAGTATTCAGTTTCCCCTAGCATCTTATAGTGCTAATATTTCATATAATAAGCACGTAATAGATACCAGCAAATATTGAATATTTAATTGTAAGGCCGAATTTATTTGTAGATCTTATCTGAATATGGATGACTTAGTATTCAGTTTCCCCTAACATCTTATAGTGCTAATATATCACTTAATAAGCACGTAATAAATACCAGCAAATACTGAATATTTAATTGTGGGGCGATATCTAAATATTGATGAGACAGTACTCAGTTTCCCCTAGCATCTTATAGTGCTAATATTTCAAATAATAAGCACGTAATAGAAACCAGCAAATACTGAATATTTAATTTTAAGGCCGAATTCATTTGTAGAACTTATCTAAATATAGATGACTCAGTATTCAGTTTCCCCTAGCATCTTATAGTGCTAATATATCACTTAATAAGCACGTAATAGATACCAGCAAATACTGAATAATTAATTGTGGGACGATATCTAAATATTGATGAGACAGTACTCAGTTTCCCCTAGCATCTTATAGTGCTAATATTTCATATAATAAGCACGTAATAGATACCAGCAAATACTAAATAGTTTAATTGTAAGGCCGAATTTATTTGTAGACCTTATCTAAATATAGATGACTTAGTATTCAGTTTCCTCTAGCATCTTATAGTGCTAATATATCACTTAATAAGCATGTAATAGATACCAGCAAATACTGAATATTTAATTGTGAGGCGATATCTAAACATTGATGCGACAGTATTCAGTTTCTCCTAGCATCTTATAGTGCTAATATTTCATATAATAAGCACGTAATAGATACCAGCAAATACTGAATATTTAATTTTATGGCCGAATTTAGATGACTTATTATTCAGTTTCCCCTAGCATCTTATAGTACTAATATATCACTTAATAAGCACGTAACAGATACCAGCAAATACTGAATATTTAATTGTGAGACGATATCTAAATATTGATGAGACAGTACTCAATTTCCCCTAGCATCTTATAGTGCTAATATTTCATATAATAAGCACGTAATAGATACCAGCAAATACTGAATATTTAATTGTAAGGCCGAATTTATTTGTAGACCTTATCTAAACATGGATGACTTAGTATTGAGTTTCAGTTAATAAGCACGTAATAGATACCTGGGGCCTGTTTCACAAAATTTTAACTAGGATAAAATCCAAATTTTAGTAATTTGATTGGATAATATTAGATTGATTTTAGTACTTAGCCATTCAAAATTTGGATTTTATCTTTTGTTAAAATTTCGTGAAACAGGGCCCAGAACTTTTTTAAATATAGATGACTTAGTATTCAGTTTCCCCTGCTAATATATCACTTAATAAGCACGTAATTGATACCAGCAAATGCTGAATATTTAATTGTGAGGCGATATCTAAATATTGATGAGATTTTACAGAGTTTCCCCTGGCATCTTATAGTGCTAACATTTCACATAATAAGCACGTAATAGATACCAGCAAATACTGAATATTTAATTGTGAGGCGATATCTAAATATTGATGAGATTGTATTCAATTTCCTCTAGCATCTTATAGTGCTAATATCTCACATAATAGATACCAGCAAATACTAAATATTTAATTCCGAGACGATATGTAAATATTGATGAGACAGTTTTCAGTTTCTTCTAGCATATTATAATGTTAATATTTTATATAATAAGCGCGTAAA